GGATTTCATGGTTCACTCTCAGTTACTGAAGAGGCAGGCTGTACACCACACCATAGCTGCAGGCCTCTTTTCTGGAGCATTTCCCAGTGTTCAGCTTCCTGGGACCATGGCCACCACTCAAACTGCTTTGAGAGTAGAGGACTGGGGCTTAGCCCCACAGCCAAGCTCAGCATAAATGACAAGCTCAAGAAACCCTTGTTAAATGAATGAATGACCCTGAAGGTTAAAGATTTTCTCCTATCACCTAACATTGATTTTTCCTATCTCGTGTGAACAAATGGGCTTAGGACATGGCAGCTGCTGTGTTACATAGAGACATAGAAGAGGCCCACATGTGTCTCCCTCCCAAAAGTAAGCCATTTGCTGCAACGGCAGGGACCATTGCAGCGTGACAAACACTGTTGTTGACAGTCTCTATTAACATGCTGATTTGCCATTTTGAGCTTCTTTTAGAGAACACAGAGAAATCTGACTAGGTGAGACCAAGGGCTGATGACTTCTGCCCCATTGATGGAAAAAAAAGCAATCAGATCACGCTTACTCTTTAAAACAGTTGCTCCAACCCATCCACAAGCCATGGCCTGGGCTGCAGATGCGTTTTTGTGCACAGCTAGACCAAGTGAGCCTTGGCAGCTGAGGGCCCCAGCACACTTGGGACATGGAAAAAGGAATCGTAGCTTCGTCAGAAGGCAGGAACCAGTGTTGGTAATATCCGCCGCTCACAGGAATGATGGGACACTTAACACTGATATAGTTTGGATTTGGAATATCCCCAAAGGAATATCTGAGTTGAAGGCTTGTTCTCCAATTCGGCAATGCTCAGAGGTGGGGCTTTTGGGCAGTGATTGGGTCACGAGGGTTTTGATCTCATCAATGGATGAATCCATAATTGTATGGACTAGTGGGAGGTGCTAGAGGCTTCCTTGGAGGAAGCTGGGCCCTGAGCATGTGTCCTTAAGGGGTATAGCATGCCCCTGGCCCCTTCTTTTCTTTGCTTCCTTGCTCCCTAAGGTGAGCACCTTCCTCTGCCACCTTCCCACACTGCTATACTATTCTGCCTCATTTCAGGGCCAAAGCAATGGAATTAGTGAATTATTGACTGCACCCTCTAAAAATATGAGCTGAAAGAAACCTTTCGTCCTTTAAGTTGATTTTCTCAGGTATTTTGTCACAGCAACGGAAAGCTGTCTAACACAAACACCATTAGCCTGGCTTTATGTCTTGACTCTGGATTGGTGTCTTGACTTCATTTTCAATGTAACTGCAAGCTGCAAAGCTAGGGCTGGTCTGTAAAGGCAACTCCCAAACTGTGAACGCTTGTATGTGCTGCTGGATACAGCCAGATTAGGGAGGCTGTCACCAACCTAAGACGTACACCATTAGACTAAAGTCCTTACCTGGTATTGCAGGGGTTGGAGATAAAAATCAACATTCAGTGTTCTGAGGGACAGCCTAAGGGACAATAAATATTTTGCAAGCTCCAGCTATTTATAGAGTGCCACCTTTTCACCCTCTTCATCAAATTGTCTTCTTTTTCTTCCCTGAGCCCCATTATTCTTCCGTAGGGCAGAAGGAAAAACATTTCTGTCACTTTGCTAGCTACATGCACATAGTAGGTTCTAGATAATGTTAATTCTTTTCTTTTCTCTCCCTTTTCATTAAAACAAGCCTGCCTGTCTCTGTTGGGTAAAAGCTGTCCCCCCCCCCCCGCCCCAAGGCAAAAATTAGACCGGAGGACAATGTAGGTGATTTTATTTTGGACCAGCATCAGCTTTGTTCCCTTTATTATTATTATTATTATTATTTTGATAAGTTTTCCAGAGCGACAGGGTCAGCCCCTCTCTCTGCCTGCAGGAGAGGCCAGTGACCCCCAAGTCAGTCTTTTCTATTTTCAGCTCCCCAAGTCCAGAGAGCAGTCACCTCCGCCTCGCCAAGTGCCACGCAGCCAACCCGCCAGCAGCTCTGGGCCTGAGTCTCGCTGCATTTCTATTTCCATAAATTTACATCAAATTTGTGCTGAATCATAGCCCGCCCTTCCCCCCTCCGCGCGAAAGAAATGAACTACATTATCAATAAGTACGACACATTTGCATAATGGGAGAGCGGAGTGACTTTTCCCTTTAACTTCCTCCAGGGGCCGCCTCTGCGTCCTGTCCTCACCGGCCGGGGCTGGCCCCTCCCCTCTCCTGCGGTCTCCATCCTCTGGCTCTTCCTCGCTGGCCAGCTCTCCCGGGGTCTCTGGTCTCCTCCTCCCGCCCACTTCCAGGCTCAGCCTCGGGTCACCTCTGTCCTGCGTCTCGGGGACCTCCCTGCCTCGGGAGCGCCCTTCCGCCTCCGCTCCTCCCTGCTCCTGCCTCCCGCGACGCCCCAGCCAATCACGCCCCGGCCCGCGCCCCCTGGGGGTGACAATTGCGGTCCGGCCTGCCGGGCTGTCATCAGCCCCACTCAGTCATTCTGAGCCCCTCGGAGGCGGTGCAGCGGGGAGTGAACTTCCTGCCACCCCCTGCTGTCCGGCTGATTGGCAGCCCGCGGGGCTGGACCCGGAGGCCGCCACTGATTGTTTGCCGCCGGGCAGGAGGGCTGCGCTGACCCGGCCGCTTGCGGGGGCGAAGGTAGTCAGAGGATGCTCACTTTGGGGAGCCTGGCTGGGTCCTCCTGCCCCTCGGGGCCTGCTGCAGGCGGCCTGCAGGGAAATGATGGATGAGGTCCCTCTGAGGGCGTCCCTTGGTAGGGGAAAGGAAGGGAGCTTATCTTTTACAGAATTGAAGCCAGTGACCCAGGAGACCTCAGGTCTCAGGGCTCTGCAGGAGGCCCAGCTGCAGTGCACACTGGAACCTGCAGTCCCTGGCCCGGCTAAAATCAAGAGCAAGGAAGTTATGTAGCAGCTAGGCCATTCAGGCTGCTAGCAGGACCTGCTTTCTTGACAAGAGCAAGAACTGGGAAATTTGGCTCAGATAGAGCTAATTTAAACGAATGCATGCACACACACACTCACACCATTATAAACCATAATCATTAAGATCATTTTCTTCTGAGGCAAGAGAGTTGCTAAGTCAATCCTGGATTAGCAGCTTAGTAAGAATTTGTCTCATTTTCTCTCTAAAAATGAAATTATTTATATTTCATTTATTTATTGTTCACTTTTAATTTTTATTGGTGCATGTTTGCAGTACATAATGACTACATTCCTCCTGGGGAGTTGATACATCTCAAGTCTTCGGGGCTGGGGATATAGTTCAGTGGGAACGCGCTAGGTTCCATCACTAGTTCTGGAAAAAGACCTCATTTTCTTCCCAGTTTGGATTTCTTAATTCAGGCAGGAGAAAAACAACCAGGGAAAGTAATGACCATAAATATTGCTTCAGCCAGAAAAAGGTGAGCCAAAACCTCTATTGGAGATTTGCTTTGGTTCCTTTAATGAGTACTCTGACATGTTTGGTTGGGCAGCCAGAATCCAGACTGAGAGTATGCCTGGAAAAGCTTTCAAAAGCTTCCGGGCTGGAGCTGCCAGAACGCGGCCAGCGTGATCTTGCAAGTCAGTAGAGGACCCGTAACGAGTTTTAAGTTTCTAACATTACATTCAAGTCATCCTTTCTTTTCCAATCTCCCTAGAGATTTCTGTTTTCATCAATATGTGTTGGTTCCGTTTCTTTCAAATTAAACTATTTTGGAGTTCCCAGATCTAAAACGCTCACAAACTTTTAAAAGTGAGATGCATCATTCAAAAGCGTCTAAGCACGTTCTTCTAACCTGCTAGTGCATATAAATAAACCAATAAAACTGGCCCTGGGGCTATCAATACATATGGAAAAATTGCATCCCAAGAGATGATTCTTCAGAAAGCTTAAGGGGGTGTGAAAATAGAGGCTAAAGCCAACGTTACAATACTCTGTCCAGGGTGGAGAATTTAAGACACAACCTCATTTTAAATGGGTCCTGTGTACATGGGTGTCAGCTGGGACAGTTAATGTACTGCTTTATGTGAGGTTAAGGTAGTTGGTGAGTGGTTTTATTTTTTTCTTTGAAAACAGCTAAGCACAATATAATTAGCTTTGTTTTTGTCAGCTAGGGCTCTTGCTGATGAGGTATCCAGAGGCCTCCTGGTCTAGGTGCCTAAAAGCTTAAACTGGATGTAATTATTATTATTATTCAATGTCAGGCTACATAAATGAAAAGAGATAAAAAAGGGATCGCTTGCAGCTACATCACCTTGGTCTGTGATTTAATCAGATATCACAGGCTGAACAGGTTCAGTCTGGCATTTGAGGCCTCAAACCTCTAAAGAAAACCCAGGCAGCTCAGGAAACTGAATTGCTTGGAAAGTTGATGTGCGTGCTGCGCGAGGTAGAGGCCTGCCACTCTTTGATCTCTTCCCCAATTTCATCTTTAAATACTTAATAAGTGTCTGACTTTTTTCATGCAAGGGAAGGAAATGGGGGAAAGGAAGTCATAGAGAGAGTTGTCCAAAAACCCATGATTTCTAGAGTGAGGCTCCTGGGTTCCCAGCTCATTATCTGTTCTGCTGCCCGGAACGCCAGAGGTGGCTCCCAACCAGCGGCAGGGCTGACAGGCTCAGCTACGGGGCGACTGGAGGGGCTTTCTCATCTGAGGGCCAGCAGACAGCATGGCACACACAAGGTGGCCCTGGGAGGCAGATGGAGTAAGTGCTGCACATTCTCTTTACAGTCTATTTCATCATCGACAGGTTAGAATGAAACCAGGTGGTTTCCCAGGCAGCAATATGTCAGCAGACAACACCTTGCTTTTTAGGTACAGACAGGCTGTTAGGAGCAAGTGTTTGGTGCTCAGCTAATTAACCCTAGATATTCTGCCCAGGGATGACCTATATCCCATTTCCTTGGATTGAAAAGAGAATGAGTTAGGTGGCCCAGAATGGTCAGAAGACCAGAAAATATAGCTACATTCTAGCTTTTCTTTCTCTGTTCTTGTTCTTCTAGAGCATGAGTTTACAAATTCCATGACAGGGACCACAGGCTGCAATGTTCTCCAACTTTTCCATCATGAGTGCAGTATTAGTAAACAACAGGCACAAAATCAGTGTGCTGACTAGTGGGCCCTTGACCTGCCAGAGACTGCTGCAGAAGCTTCCTTACTTGGATGAGGATCCAGTGGGTTCTGACTGTAGCACCCTGAAGGCCTGCCAGGGAGAGCTCAGGCTATTCAGGCCTTTCATCAACAGTGTTACCATCTGTAACAGTATATCAGTATGTCCCCAAACCCAGTGGCTTAAGCAACTATTTACTACCTGATCCTGCCAGTCAACAAATTGGGCAAGGCTCAGCTGGGCAGTTCTTCTGCTGGGCTCAGTTGGGTTCATCCACGCACTTCTGCTTAGTTGGAGATCAGTGGCCACACTCATGTACCTGGTAGTTTGTCAGCTGTTGGCTGGAAATTCTATGTCACTGCCCAGCCAGGTATGCTGGGCTTGTTTCCATGGTTTCCCAGGAGCAGTAAGAAAAATGAGCTCCGCCCCTCCAGGGGCTTTAAAACCTTTTTTTGACACATTCACAAACATTGCTTTGGCCAAAGCCAGTCACATGGCTGAGCTCAGAGTCAAGAGACAATGGCAGGGACAATGAAGGGCAATTATTGCCACCATCTTGAAATCTGCCATGCCAACAAAACAAAGCCAAGGGTAGTTTATCTCCAACTCCCAGGTGAGACTTCAAGTTTCTGAGATGCTGGGGTAGGGATGGGTTCTAGGCGAACCACTGTTTCTACACTTTTCAGGGCTCAGTTTCCTCCTTTGATAAATGAGGGATAATATCCATCTCACAGGGCCCTGTCAGGATCAACAGGGGCTAAAAATTAGAATGTTGGCTGTGATGCTTATGTAACTGTGAAATGGGCTCACACCGTCTCAGCCTACCTGTTCCACTCAGTAGGTGGTGTTTCAGCCAAGCACAGACCACTCACTATTGGTGGTGACCCAGGTAGGGATCAGGAGGCCCCTGTGTGCCACCTTGAGGGTACCCACCATTATGAAGCTCCCTTCCCCTCTGAAATTCTCTAGATTTTCTCTCGAAAGTCTCATCTCTCCGATGCCAGAGACTTTATCTCCTCTATGGACACCTGTTTTTTTCTTTTTCTTTTCTTGAGACAGGGCCTTGCTGTGTAGTTCAGGCTGGCTTTGAACTCACTATATAGCCCAGGTTGGCCTCGAACTTGCAGTTAACCTCCTGCTTTAGCCTGCCCAGTGCTGGGATTACAGGCATGCCACACCATGCCCAGCTTGGACTCCTGTAAAAGCACCACCCTCTCAGCGCTTGGTCCTCTTCAGAATTTAATAATGAATTCAGAATTTATTTATTTTTGAGACAGGGTCTTGCTATGCAGTTCAGGCTGGCTTTGAGCTCACTTTGTAGCCCAGGCTGGTCTGGAACTCACTACGATGCTCCTGCCTCAGCCTCCTGAGTGCTGGGATTACATACAGGTGTGCGCCACCACGCCTGGCGAATTCAGAATTTAATAACAAAATTTTAATTTCAAACTTTACATTTGCTTTTTTTTATGACAGCAGATACTTAAAAAAAAAAAAAGCAAATGTTAAGTGAGTAGCTTTAAAAACAATGCTCAGTATATAGAAACACGTGGCTCTTTCATTCATGCGTCCAACCAATGACTGTAGAACACCTACTATGTGACAGGGTGGTTCCAATCTTCCCCAGTGATTGTAGATCACCCACTATGCGATAGGACGGTTCCAATCTTCCTGCCCTGGTGGAGCTTACAGTCTAGGGGCGGCACCGTAACGATAGGCAGGGGTGGCTGCGTGTGGGGGCTGGCGTCTTAGCGGGGACACAGACCTGTCCCCCGGCCTCCCTCTCGCCCCGAGGCGGTGATTGCGGGGTCGGGGGTCGGGGGTGATCTACGAGGCGGGGCCGGTGTCTCCGGATCTCTGGGCGACGCGGCCGGGGCTGTGTCTGCGGCCGGGCCGCGGCTCCTCCTCTTCTTCCCGCGGCGGCTGACGTGGAGCCTGCGGCTCGGTGGCCACCG